ACATGAATGAATCTTCTAATTTTTTTTCTTAATCTGTTAAGTGTCTATATTTTTAATTTAAGCAACTGTCAAGCCTCTGGAGCAGTATTTCTCAATTAGTGTTCCTGGAACCCTAGATTTCCACAAGAGGTCACTAGGGATTCAACAAGAAATAGTGATAAATAGACTAATGCATTTTTGAGTCATTTTTTGTTTAATTTTATATTTGTTATTTTACTATACATGTACAGTTTATTGTTGGAAAATCCTTGGTTATTATAATATTGATTATTTGTTTATTTTTTGTGTGTGTTTACATATTTTTTTTCTTTTTGTTCTGGTTTTTTGTGTGTGTTTACATATTTTTTTTCTTTTTGTTCTGGTTGTTTTTTGTGTGTGTGTGTGAATGAAACCCTTGGATTGTCCTGGGTAAGATGATAAACTACATCTAACAGCAAGGCCTCTGATCAGATTTTGAGCAGCGTGGAGCCACCTCTTAATTGCTGGTGTTCCCAGGTCCACCCTGACCCAGGGTGGTAGCACCTGTTAGGGTCCCATCTATGAGCAAATAGTTGACCCCCCAGACTGGGGTCAACTCACTATAAAAATGTAAAAATAGATTTTAATACCAGAAATACTTAAAAAAAAAAAAAAAAAAAAAAAAAATTTATTATCAGCTATACATTTTTGAAAAAAAAAAAAAAAAGTTACCAACAGTAAAAATCTTGTCGGCATTAAATAATCCATTGAGGTTGATATGTCATAAAACAAACCAAACTATACATTTTAAAAAAAAAAAAAAAATTACCAGCTATACATTTTTTGAAAAAATATTACCAGGGATACATTATGAATAAAAAATATTACCAGAAATAGATTTTTGAGGGGAAAAAATATTACCAGCAATAAAAATTGTTGCCATTAAATAACCCATTGTGGTTGATATGCTGTAAAACAAACCAAATGAAACAAAACCCTCAGAGTGAGGTCTCTTAAACGAGCAATATTTTTTTTTTTTTTTGGTTTTGCATTGCCAATAAATTTGACAAAAAAGGGGGTCATTTTTTACTTAAACCAGATATCCTGAAAAAAGTTTACCACATGAACTGCAATGAAAATATAAGAGATAGATATTAATAATAGTATATAATAATTTTCATGCAGTGTTCCTTGAAACATGAAAATTATTTTAAGGGTTCCATAAGGGTAAAAAGGTTGAGAAACTATGTTCTAGAGGGTTGTTTATTGTATAAGATAAATTTGGTAAATTCTGTAAAATGTGCCTAACTACTATTAAGCTAGTTATTTTGTTAAATGTTTTAAAATTAGCTTTTGTCTGACATAAATAATTTTTTGAGTGTATTTTTCTCTTATTTTATCAATCAATTATTTACTTCAGTTGTGTTATATTTTGCTTTAAAGTAATTTTTTTATATATTTAAACACATTCAAAATGAAACTTTTCAACTGTAATTTTTCTTCCAGGTTACTCTTTTTAAATCCAGAAGAACTAAGATTTCATTTTAGAGATGTGGAATATGTTGTTATTCAGACCATCATGCTTGTCTTAGTTGTTATATTCCTAATGTTTTGGATGTTGCACTCTTTGGCTGTCTTCAGGCATGTCATCATATGCAGTTACCTTCTTGGAATATTGAAACAAGCAATCTGTTTAATTCACAAGAGTAGATTCTTCTCATCCTGCTTTCCATGTTTTGGGTAGATAACTCGTATCAATTAATAGACAAAGGGGAATAAGATTGGCAAGTATTAATGGATATGAAATATTCCTTAAGCATAGAAAGTGAAATGAGAACATCCTTGTGGATTGAATAGTGATTTAAAATTCCTAGGTTACCAATGTGTGACAACAGATGTGTAATGAAAGCTGTAGGGTACAACAGCTGAAACATTGACTATGGCAACCAAGATGAGCATGCTGCTCTCTAAAAAATAAAGCATTTAATGAACAAGACAAGAGTATTGATAACCTGTATTAAAATTATTTTAATGCAAAGCAGTTAAAAAATAAACTTGAATTTTTAAATATTTTGTACTTTGTCGTAACCATATTATTACTTATATAGTATTTTATTACTGTTAAAGAAATTGTGATTTTCTAGACTAGAATTTTGTACCACTTGTGGAATGTTTAAGAATGAAAGCAAAAAGGAAATTCATAGGACTTAAGACTATTTTTCCACAGGATGATGATTTTTGTATGAAATACTTTAATGTCCAGTCACTATTGACATCATCACTTAATAATTTAGTACTTCTCACTGTTGAATCAATAAATGCTGTGTTTCAATAGCAGTTGTGTCAAATTCTAAGGCTAATAAAACCTTTTATGGGAATGATATTTTGTAAATGAATAGACTGACTTCATGTGCTTAGGGAAGAAAAAATTCTTTGGACAAGTTTTAATGAACTTAACATGTTTTTAAGTCTTTTATTTATTTATTTTTTTTCCTCAAAAATTTTATTTATTCTGAGGAAATGTTTTTTAAAATTTTAACATGTAATACTTAGTTCATTTTAAATACTGTAAAAAATAACTTATTTAAGTTAAATATTTTATATCACAGATTATATATCATCAGTAATTATTCTCCTATTTTCTTTTCCTATTCTATTTCCATATTGATAAAATGTTTTTTGTTTAATGCCTGTTGAAGCAAGGTTATTAGTGCTTAATTTATAGTCATACAAGAGTCCTGAAAACTTAAGCTTAACCAGGAAGTCTTTCTAAAAAAGAATTGTTTTATCATTAAGTCAAATTCTGAGAAGTGGGCTTTGCTGAAAACTACTCAACTCCTCTTATGGTTTAGGTTGCAATCACTTTCATGGACAACTTTTTTTTGTTCTCATGCAATTGTAATGTACTTTAAAAAAAAAAAAAGTCATTGTTTCTAAAGGAAATAATAGCACAGTTATTACAAAACTATAGGTTTTAATCAGATGGAGAAAAAATAGCTATCCTAAAAGTATTTATTCCCCCACCAAAGCACACACTTCAATGCAACTTAAGTGAATCTGGATTTATTCTACATTTTTTTTATTTTTTATTTTATTTTCATTGTTAGTAGCAAGCAAGGCTTGAGATAAACATCATCTTGGGGATGATAGAAAATTAGTTTGGGACAATTGGTTAGATATTTTGGAATGATATGAAATTTTTAATTAAAATTATATTTATTGTAAAAGCAACTAATTTCTTAAAGTTCTTACTTCTCTTTTAATAAATAGAATGCACACACAAATCAATAAAACTTAAGGGTTTCTTTTTAAACTGGTGAATGAAACCTGAATGAAAGTTGAAGGACTTAAATTTAGATATTTTTGTATTTATTTCAAAATATGAACATTAGTATCTGATTGTAATAACTAATTTTGCTACAATAAACAAGAAAATATTTTTTTTGTTCTTGGTTAAAAATCTTGAATAAACTATTAACAAACAACATTTATGCTTTGTCTTTTGTTTATCATAAATTGAAAATACAAAGAAGAATTTAAATGATAAACCTTTATTCATGATGTGAGGTAGTTATAGATTTGATAAAGAACATGGAACCTTTTTGATCAAATAGTTGGAATGTACTAATTAATCTTTATATAGAAAATGAATGCATGGAGCACAATTCTTAAATCGAAGTATGATAAAAGTTACTTAACATGAAAATTAATTAATAAGAACATTTCTGCATAAAATCATTCGAAGTGATTTAAGTTAAATGTTTAAATAAAAACACAATTTTTTAAAAGATTAAATTTTTTGTGGTTAACATTTCTGGGACAGTAGTGAAAAAAAAGTTACTTTTAGATACCTAGGAGCAAGTGATTTAAAAATATCTTGTAACTGTTTTGTCTATTACTAATATTTTTCTGTTTCTATTTTTATTACAAGTAAACAAAAACTAATATTAGATGAATGTGTTGATTAGTGTTTTTCATTTGTTCACATTGTTGCTTTGAAAAAATGTATTTTATATAATTATTAAAATTATTTCTTCATTCATTCAAATGTTTCAAGATAGCTTCTCTATAATTTTTCTTCAGAAAAGTTTTGACTTTTGTATTCTAACAATTTTAAGTAATGATTTATATTCTGAATCAACAAAATCTCATAGTAAAAATTAATGGAAATGGAAATTTCAATAATTTTTTGTCTTTGATTTTTGGATGTTTAGTTCCTTTTTATGAAAAATACAACATTAAATGCTTTTGGTGTATTTGAATATTAGGTATACATGTTAGAGAAATCTTTCATTGTTGAATATATTGAGCTTGTATATATCTCTATTTTACTTGATTTTATTTTTGTTTTGTGTGTATTTGTGAATGTTCAGATCTCATGTAAAATGTTTGTTTTTGTTATTTGATCACGAGTTCTATAACCCCTGAGGGCCATAGGGGCACTGCATGTACTGCAGCAGTAGTGTGTCTGGAGCAAACCAGCTTGATGGAACTTAATGCTCTACAGGCTGGTTTGAATTCAGTTTTCCTTCTAGACTGCTGATCAATGCTATAGGGTCCAGTTATACTGCTATTTACCGATATCTGAGTGGGGAGGGGGTAGAAGTGATGGATTCGTACCATTCTCAAGAATATTTGTGTTCAAGTGAATGTAATCAACTTAACTGGAATTTGAACTCTGATTCTTCATTCTGAGCAACTATCCATTGCATCACCATGCATCCAAATTTCTTATTAACAATGTCTAAACATTCTTAAAGCCATAAGTTGCCTTTAAAATGGCTATTAGAGAATATGCACATGCATTTAAAATATTTTATGCAAATACATTTGTCGGTAAATTATATAAGATATTTGCTATTTGTAATTTTGTCAAGAACATGATAGAACAATTGAAATTTATTATTTTTAAATTTCTGAATAATTAAATATTAAATAATATCCTTTGAGTTAATGTTTTTTTATATGCTTTTCATGTTAAAGAATTTAAATTTTCCCTTATTTTTATAATTTAAAAAAAAATAAACATTTTTATTTTTCAGGGGAAAGTGTTTGTATTTGATAAGGTTCTAAAACCAAATGTTTCACAAGAATATGTGTACAATGTTGGTGCTAAGCCCATTGTTGCTGGTAAGTAAAGCCTATTTACATTTTTTCTATATTTAAATATTCACTAATATTTTTAGCATTCACTTGTTTTTTAACAAATTGAGTTCGTAAATTAAAATTTTGAACTTCAATAATTACACACACACTGATATGCCAAACCTTTTGGTCACCTTGGCAAATTACTTTTGGTTATTGGGAGTGATTAGCAGTATGCTTTTCTATGATATCTGAGGATCAGAAAACAAGTTACTGCATTTATTGTTCACCATTGTATGGTGAATGAATGATAGAGCATCTTAAGCATTGTCATGTTGAATAAAAGGCCATAAAAAAATGGCAGAAATACTGAACCACCAGCAGGAATTTCATGCTTTAGCCCTTAAGTTAAAATTTATTTGTTTGCAAAAGGTGATCTTTATTATTACAGAAAGTATAAAAGTCAGAGTATGGAGTTAGTAATTAGTGTTGCTGCCTTTGGTTTGAATAATTGCCTCAATTCAATGTAGTGTTGAATGGAACAAGGTTCAGATTTTCTCATCTGGAAAATTTTTTTTTTTTTTTTTTTTTTCCATTCATTTTAGCTGTAATCCCAAAGCTCTTGGAGATTGTGTGGGTGTTGTTAGAGCACTTGTTTTTTTTTAGTTCCCACCACAACAATTTAATTATATTCAAATCGGGACTCTGTGCTGGCCAGTCTTCCAAAAGTTGTACGTATTCATTCACAAGAAATTTTTTGGTTGCACGTGATGTGTGGCAAGGAGCACCATCATTCTGAAAAAATTCTCCATCTTTGACACCTGGCATAAGATTAGACCATAGTAAACTAATATAGTTTCCGCTGTTTAGGATTCCATCAACTTTTACCAATTTTCCTTTACCACCGTTTTTGATGCAAGCATACACCATTGTGTCCACCACTATCCCATGTTAGGTGTTCTTTTGACCACTTCAGTCTTCTACTCCAATGTATTTTCGATTACTGATTATTTTTTTTCCTGTTATACACCCTTTCAAATAATTTTTTTCGTAGTACTTTTATGTACTGTATAAACTGAAACCTCACTATTAAGACTGCATTCTCTCTTCACTTGTCTGGTTGGTAATTTTGGATTGCCTACTTAGACTCCAACAATTTTTCTTGTCTAACATTTGTAGATTTCCGGTTTTCTTTGCACTTAAAATACTTCCAGTAGTAACAAACTTCAAAGTCACAATCTTAATCTTTGTTTCAGCAGAAATTTTAGTCATAATTTTAGTGTAAAAATAGCAAGATATTGTTCAACTTTAATGACTTGTCAAGATGTTTTACATTCATGTTAATAAGCTGGAGCAATACCTACTTAGAAATTTGCATATTATCATGACTTTATCATCTTTGATCTTTCATTGGTCCAATAGTTTTGCAATGCTTTTTTTCAGCTGCAAGCTGCTTATAGTAGTGTATCTTCTGTTAAACTGCACCTATGAAATTACAACAACTTATTTTCTAATCCTCAACGTCCATAGATACTACTGATTATATAAATCTTGTTATAAATGTTATTTTTAGTGGGTACATGTGTTTGAGTTGTTACTCTTCTTTTCGTTGTTAGCCCTCTTTTTTAATTTTGTTAAATGGGAATTAACAACTGGCCTGAATTGAGAAACCCTAAGAAAATATAGCCTCCAACAAGAACTGAACATGCATCCATTTTTTTTTTTTACCTCAAGGAAATCAGTTAAGCTGAATAACGTTTATAATAATAAGAAATAATGTTGGATAAAAAAAATCTTTTCAAAAAATTACGGTTTACATTTCAGGCATGAAACTGATGCTAGCAGATACAAATTCATGGAAGTCTTGACAAGAAAAATATGTCTTCCTAAACAGGTTATTCTGACTTTGTGCTGTCAGTCAGGCCCCATGGCCAAATCTGTGTGTGTGTGTGTGTGTATATATATATATATATATATATGTGTGTGTGTTTCCCTTGGGTTTATATAAGGAGATACTGAAAATCCCATTTACCAAATAACCAGACATATTTTTTTATCTTTATTTGATTGAATAAGAACTTCTCAACACTCATCCTGTTTTAAATGTTTTTATAATTTTTTAATTAGTTTCTATGATAGTTTAATAAGTTCTTTCATTTGGTTATATTATATTTAACAAAACTAGGTTTCACTTATAAACTTTAGTTTTTGAAGGATGATATTGATAGAGTAGCAATTGTTAAATTAGCTTTCTTTTTTTTTTTTTTTTTTGTTTAAAAGTGCTAAAAATAAGTTTTTATTTGTAAATACTGATTAATATATTAAATCAATTGCTGATAGAGTTCATTTATTTTTGTTTTTTATTTTTATTTTAAGTTTCATAATCTTTTTAATTTGGCAGTTGGTAGCCCTATCCTAAGTTTTGCAAGTATTGTAGTGGTTATTGGTGCAGAAAGTGTAATTGGCAAACTGTGTTAAAATTCCAGCTTAATCTGTTATGTTCATGTTTGCACTAATGCCTTTGGGAAAACATGAATCTGTCTTTTTCTCCGCCATCTATGGGATAAATAGCAGGATAGACTGGGTTCTCTATTCTAATTTGGAAGCCAGTCTAGCAGAAGAGTTGTGCTAAAATTAATGTTGTAAAAAAAGTGATGGGAAACCACTCCAATACCTATTCTAATTCACAGATGATTAATAATAATGGAATTGTGGAGAGCCAAATTATCTACGTCTTGAAGAGACATGACATTTAAAAATAGTAGAGAGCTGTGTTATTAAATATCTCATTTGACTATGATTATAACTGAAAATATCTGTTACCTGAAGTTAAATATCTAGGTAGAATGATTATCAGGTATGTAAAATTTAAGAGAGTTAACCAAAGAAAAACCTCATATGAGGTTTTTCTTTTTTTAAAAGTGATAAGAATTTTATAGAGGGATGGTTTTTATAATTATTCTCAGTTTTCTGGTAGTTTAGAAAATTTCTGCTTGAGAAAAACCAATGTTAATAACTTAAAATTTAACAAAATTCCATAAGATATGCTTTGTTTCTAAAAAGTGCATATTGTGTATGAAAAGCAAATTTGTAAATGACATGAAATTGATTAATTATTTAAAACTTTGTATAAAATATAAAATATTTTATGTTTGCAACTTTATATTTTAAGAATGTATTTTTAATACAATATATTGATTTCTTGAAAAACTATGAAAAGATATTTTTTAGATTAAACATTTTTAAATCAATTTATATGATACAGTAACACTTTATTCTGCTAATTTTTGTCATAAATGTTAAGTTTCTTGAAATGCTCATGTAGCTCTTACTTTTGGACATTTTCTATAGTTGGGTAATGTTTAAATATTAAATAAAATTGTCATTAGTATCTTGTGGTTGAGTAAAATATTAGCATTATTTTGCTTCACTTGTAGAAATTAAGCATCTCAGAATCTATCAAGCTACATCTTAATTCTTGCTTTGGAAAATAGTGCTTTTTGTAACTTTTTTTCTTTGCAGTTTTCTGATTTAGTTACATTTTGATCAGATTTCAAGAAGTTTTTAATGACAGTATACATTTTGCAGCAGCTTTTTTTTTCTGTAGATGGAACTGTTAGTTATATTTAAAGGAAAACATTTGATTTATCTCTTGAAATTGCTAGTTTGCATTATATTTTCTGTAATTACTTATGTTCTATTTAAAACAGTTCTGTTATTAGTTTGTTCAAATTAATAGACTGGTGTGATCAAAACTTAATTTATTGATTTTAAGTCTCTTCTCTCTCCTCCTATCCTTATTTTCACTGAAAGTAATGCCTGTTTTACCTTTCTGCCAGACAGTTCTTTGCCGATAGGCAATTTTATTGATCACTTTCCTTGTCTTGACAGCTTTACTTGTATTAGTTAACAGTGCAACCTGTCTGCTTTTGATTTTATTATTATTACTCTATCTTCCTACTAAGAATGAACAGTAACCTGCTTGATTCATTGCTGCTACCTGATCACCAACAGTAATATTGCTATTTTGCTTTGTGGCTGCTATTCAGACTAGCTTTGTCGTCTGACTCATTTTAACTCCTACTACAAGCCAAGCCTGTTGGATAGGCTGGTGATGAATCACCATTTATTGGCCACTGGTTGGAGTGGTCTGCATCTATTGTATACTGAATTTCTATTAGCTGTTTGTTTGTACTGCAGTAGATAGCCTAGCCAACAGAATGCTTTTCATTTTAATATATTCATCTGTAAGTTAGTGGCTGCTACTATCTAATCTTCATAAACATGCATGCTAAAGTTACCTTTTTATAATTAATTTTCTTTTATTTGTCGTACTGATCCTGTGTTAATGGCATGAACTGAATTTTATTAGCTCTTGTTTTGTTTATTTTTTTGTCATAATAGGCAGATAATAAAGGAGGACTGTGATGGACCAATATCCTAATATCAAGCCTTGTTATTTGGCTTTAACTCATCAAGTGCATTTTATAAATATGAAAAAAATACACTATTAGAAACATTAATTCTGGAATAATAAAAATGCAATATTTACTTAAACAAGATAATTTGTAATAATGATTTTCATGAAAAAGCATAAAATATCTTTTTTTTTTTTTTTTTTTTTTCATTGAGGATTATGATTTTGGGCTGTTCATTGTTGATTATTAGAATTATGGATATTTAGTATTAGAAATTTAATTTTTATAAAATATTAATTTTCTTTTGTTTACTTTAATTATTAATACATTTTTTTATAGAAGCATGAGTTTCTTCCTACATTTTCAATAGACTAGACTTCAGTTTTTCTTTATTTTTCATGAGTTGAATCTTCAGTTCAGAGATCTACATATTTGTATGATTTATTGATATTTAAAAAAAAAAAAATAATCATTTTCCTGTAATTGGGTAAATATTTTAAAAACTTTTTGAAAAGTTCATGTATTTCATAATGGTTTATTTCTGGTTTGTAATATATTTTACTGTGATTTATTTTGACACCAGTTTCATTTCAGTACTTTGCTTTTTAATGCTATTTTTTTTAATTA